AAGACAGAGAGAGAAAGAAAGAAAGAAAAATGGAAAAGAAAGGAAGAAAAAGGAAGAAAGAGAGAAAGAAAAGAATTCTGCACTCCGTAACTTTTCATTTTGCTGCACTCTCCGTTAAAACCCTTCCGAGGTTCTTAGGCAGGCAGAAAATTTGTTTTTCTAGGCATCCGATTATCCAAGGAAAACTGAAAAGCCACCTCACAGATAATTAGGGGAAATCCAGCCTGAAGCGCACCCATCATTCCTGGTTACTGGTGATCTCAGCCTTGGAGAGAAAACCGTTTCCAACAGGCAGAACCAAATTAAATCTCCCCGCATATTATTCCTGCCCGTCAGGGGGTCTGAACCCCTGGAAAGAGTTGAGCGCATCGAACACGGAACGTCCTTCTGCCCGGATGGCCACGTTTCACCCTTTCATTCCTGGCTTGTTGTATTAACCGGGACTCTGGACGGACCGTACCTGCTGGGAACCAGGTGGAGGTGCTGCTGCTGCTGCTGCTGCTGTTGTTTTTAAAGCACCCCTGGGCAGTTCAAAGGGTCACTGAAATAAGACAAAGGATTAACATCTTTGCAAGCTGCTCCGGCCACTAACAAGCCAGGATCCGCTGTTTAAGGCTCTCCGATCCGGGGGAGGCCAAGTGAGGCGCTCCCTTCGGAGTCTCTGGATCCTTCGTGATCTCTGGGGCCGTTTTCTCCCCCTTAGCACCGCTCAACCGCCTCTCCAGGCGGCCTTAACCCCTGTTCAGGATGCCTTCCGGGGGGGCTGCGAGGATGCTGCGCGTGCAAAGGTCCTGCAAGCCGTTTGGCTGGATTTTCACCAGCATTTCTGGCTTGTCAGCTGCACAAGGGCGGGGGGGGCGGGGCGGGGGGAGCCTGGTTGACCTGGAATGGGACCGCAGTTGGCAGAGAGAGGGCAATTCCCAACCCCAAATGGTTTAAGGCCGTGAGATCCACAGTTGATCCGGATCTCTAGACCAGAGATTCTCAAATCTCTCCACTTTAATATTTGTAGACTTTTAACTCTCAGAATTCCCCAGCCAGGAGTCTGGATTCCTTCCTTCCCTCCTTCCCTTCTCTTTCTCCTCCCTTCCTTCCCTTCTCTTTCTCCTTCCTTCCTTCCCTTCTCTTTCTCCTTCCTTCCTTTCCTTCTCTTTCTCCTTCCCTTCCTCCCTGGTTCTTTCCTTCCTTCCTTTCCTTCCTTCCTTCCTTTCCTTCTCTTTCTCCTTCCATTCTTCCTCCCTCCCTCCCTCGTTCTTTCCTTTCTTCCTCTTTTCCCTTCCTTCCTTTCCTTCTCTTTCTCCTTCCTTCCTTCCTTCCTTTTTCTCCCTCCTTCCTTCCTTGCTTCCTTCCTTCTTTCCCTTCTCTTTCTCCTTCCTTCCTCTTTCTCCATTCCTCCCTCCTTCCTTCCTTCCCTTCTCTTTTTCATGCCTTCCTTCCTTCTTTCCTCTTTCTCCCTCCCTCCTCCCTCTTCCCTCCTTCCTTCCTTCTCTCCCTCCATATCCTCTCCACATTTACACATAGACCTAAAGCATACACAAACACTCCGGTGCTCCCTGTGTCTTTGTGACCATGTGTGTTTGCTTGGGGTTTCCTTTTCTTTTTAAATCATCCCACAAAACTCCCTAAAATTGGGGCGACCTTGGAAAGACGGGCAGCTGGGGATCTCCTGCAGCGGAGAAGGGAGAAGGCTCATGGCTTGTCCGTTGGTGTGTGTGCATGTGCGCGTGTGTCAAGTACAGCGAGGCAGCCGGAAATCCAGGGAGACGCAGCCCCCCCCCCCACTTTCTCATTTCCCTGCGCCTTTCAGTACTGTTGCTGTCAACCCAACTTTTTGGCCAAGGGGGGTGGAAGCGTTTCTGCCGAATGGCCATCAGGGTTGGGGGACAAGGACATTTTTTTCTTTTTTGGGCCAGTCGCCCCTTCCTGCTCCTTTCTTGAAAGGCTGCCTGGAAGGAAGCAACTTCTGAGCTAAGCAGGAGGTCGGACAGAGTTGGAAGGGACCTTGGAGGTCATCTAGCCCAACCCGCTCCCTGTTCCAGCAAGAGATCTTATACCATTCAGGACAAATGGCTGTCCAGTCCCTTCCGGAAACCCTCCAGGGACGGAGCCTCACCGTGGGATTGCGGGGGTGGGGTGGGGGTGGTTCGCCCAGGCAGGTGAAGAGCCCCTCTCCTCCCAGGCCAGCCTCGGGGAGGGACGGGCCTTGGGGCGGGAGGGGGGCGTTGAAAGAAGCCTTGGCGCTTCTCTCCTGGCTTCCCTTCCAGCCCGCTCGGAAACGAAGAGGTCGAAGCCCCTTGCGAGGCCAAGCCGAGGCCAAGGGCCGACGGGCAGGGGCTGCCTTTGCGGCCCAGCGGCATAAACTGAGGCACGGCTTCGGGTGGCCGTGAGGTCAAAAAAGTCAAAATGGCGGCCTAAAGGTCCTGACAGGGCTCGCTTTCTCCTACGAGGCGCTGCCCACAAAGCCTTCCAAGGGTCCTGGCCGGCCAGGCGTTGGATCCCTTTGGGCGCAATAGCGCTCCGGGCGACCCCTGCCTCGCTTCTTCTCCTCCCGCCCCCCGCATCACCGGCTCCCACCAGCCCTCCTTCCATTTCCAGCCTTGGACTAAAAACGGTCATTTCTCTGTCAAAAAAATTCTAACGCGCTCGCTTTGCGGGGACAGCTAAGAGGCTGTCAGGATTGTTCAGCGGAGGAAGCAAAGGAGAGAAAGGAGCTAAGCGGTTTGGAAAGGCGCAGGTTTTAAGTGAAGGCCGGGCGGAAGGCCCTTCCACCTCCCACCTCCCACGCCCCCAATTGTTCCGAGGGTCTGCTTGCAACCTGCGCCCCCAAAGCCCCCTTTTCCCGGCCACCCGCGCCCTGCCGCCTCGCAGGGAGGTTCAACCCAGGCGCGGATCGCCTACTTCGAATAGCCCCCCCAGGGCTGCCTTCCCACGACCCACCAACTCGGGTGCCTCCTTTCAACCCGGGTTGGCGCGAAGTCCCCGGACCGTTCGAAGAACCACAAAAAAACTGGGGTTCGCCCAACGACCCCGCGCGAGGCAAGAAAAAAAAAATCTCCAGCCTGCTGCGTTTGAAACGCGGGTCGGCTGTGTGAGCGAACGCACCGTATCGTCAGAATTGCGAACCCCCCAATGCCCGTGGGGTTAAGGGAACGGGGTTAAACATCGGGCGGCAACACGACCCCGGTCTCTGGAGCCGAAAGTCCAGGGTCTCCCACGGGGCAATTCCCCGGCCGACTCCGCTCCTGCGGCGGAGCCCGAGCCGCCTTCGGTCGGCCACGGATATCTGCCGGCTGCCGGGAGGAGGGCGAATTCGTCCTTCTGTTCCCGCGTCGGCGGAGGGAGCCGTTTTAAGGGTCTCCCGGTGGCTGCGGCCCCTTCAGAGCAGGGTGGGGGGCGGCCCACCCCAAAACCCGCGCTCAGCTCCCACGGGCGGGGACAGCGAGAGGCGCGGAAGGTCTGGAAAAAGACAAAAAAAATATCAAAATAAAATATTGAAAAAGCTTTCTGATTTCGAAGGCTGAGCCGGAGGAAGACACCCCAATCCCTCCTCATTTGCAGTGGCCCAGCGGGAAACCAGTTTGGGGTCGGGAGGTTTTAGGGGAATAAAAATTTCCGGAGGGAGCCGATCCGTTTTGAAGAGGGGGAAGCATTTGGGGTGGACGGCCGGATCCTACTCTACCGATCCAAGGGAGAAAAAAAGGCGACGGTGGTGGAGGCGTATTTCAATCAGAGCCCCCGATTCCAGGGATCACGCGGGACGGGCTTTGCGTGCTAGTGGAAGGAAAAGGCTGTAAGTTGGGTGGGAGACGGAGAAGCCACGCAAAAAGAGAAGCGGCTCTTCCTTATCAAACGGCCCCGCACCCTCGGCCTTTCTCCGAAGGAGCAGCAACAGCCGCCCGCCTAGAGAAGACGCGTCTCTAAGGATCCGGCCCACGGAAAGGCCTCGCTCTTGGACCCGGGGAGCGCACGCTGAGCCGCCGGACCTGCCGGTTCTCCGCCGCCGCAGCCAAGACGGATTCGGACCGGCCAGCTGCCTCGGCCGGTTGACTCTATTTCAGCAAAGTGCTGGCGAACGCTTTTGGGCTCAGGCGTTCCGCCTTCCTTTATTCACAATCTATAAAGTTATTATTATTTTTATTATTATTTTAAATATCTCTTTATATATACAACAGCCTTAGAAATGTACAGAGGCGCGAGAAAGATTTTTAAAAAAAGTTCCTCCGGCCTTGATATTTTCTTTTCTTTCTTTTTTCTTTTTTGAAAACGAGTTTGCGAGAAAATCCCTTTCCGGTCGCTTTTCCATGCTAAAAACCGAAGTCCGAGGCAGGAGAGGGAGGGAGGGAGGAAGGAAGAGAAAGGAAGACAGGAATGAAGGAACGAAGGAATAAAAAGAAACGAGAAGGAAGGAGAAGGAAGGAAAGAAAAGAAAGGAGAAGGAAGAAAGAAGGAAGGAAGGAAGGAAGGAAGGAGTCCCCAGAGCGAAGGAGAACCGCTGTCGGTTGCTCGTCGCCCCAGCGGAGGGGCGATTGTCCCGGCCAGTCCCGAGCCTCCTGGAGAGGCGGACGGGGGCGACGATGGAGCGGGAACCGGAGAAGGGCCGAGTCTATTTACAAGGGGAGGGGGGGGCCTTTGGCTTCCCTGCCCCGGGGCGCAGCGTTAGAAACCAGTCCGGGAAGCTGGAGGGCGCCGGAGCGTTTCGCAGTCCCTGCCGGCGGTGGCGGCGGCTGCTTCTTCCCTGCAGTCCGGCCGCCTCTCAGAGGTGCGGCGTGTAGAAGGCGGGCGCGCCGTAGGTCTGCGAGCCCAGCACGAAGGGCGAGAGCACGGCGGCCGGGCCGGGCAGGAAGGGCAGCTGGGCGGCGCACACCAGCCCGCCGGCCGAGTGGCTGTAGGCGCCGGGCGGGCCGTGCATGGCCAGGCCGTGGTTGACCATGGGCGGGGAGTGGCTGAGCGGGCTGAGCGCCCCGGAGAGGCCCCCCGCGCCCCCGCCGGGCCCGCCGCCCACCCCGCCGGCTCCGCCGCCCCCGCCGCCTCCTCCGCCCGTCGGGGCGCTGGTGTCGGCGCCGGGGTTCTGCTTCTTCCACTTGGTGCGCCGGTTCTGGAACCAGATCTTGACCTGCGTCTCGGTCAGGCTGAGCGAGAGCGCCAGGTTGAGGCGCTCGCACACGGACAGGTACCGCGTGGCCTTGAATTTGTTCTCCAGCGCCACCAGCTGCTCGTAGGTGAAGGCCGTCCGCGCCCGCCGGGGCTTGCCCGACTTGGAGTCCGAGCCGGGGCGCTTCCGCTTGGTTTTGCCCCCCGACGGAGGCGTGGCGGCCTGGCCCGGGGGCGGCTGCGGCGACGGGGGCCGGGGCGGCGGCTGCGGGAGCCCCGAGGCGGCGCCGGCCTGCTGCCGCGGCGGGCTCCGGCCTTCCTCCGCGCGGAGCCCCCGACCGGCCTCCACCGCACTGCCGCCGCCGCTGCCGTCGCTGTTGCAACTCTCCTCGCTGCCCAGCTCCTCTTCCTCCTCTTCTTCCTCCTCTTCCTCCTCCTCTTCCTCCTCGTCCGGCGCTTCGCTCTCGGGGAGGGGGCTCTGCCGGTGCACCGATTCCAGCCCCGCCGCCTCGTCGCTCGGGTGGTACAGCTCGCCGGACTCTGCGCGGAAAGGAGAGAAAGCTAGTCTGCGGGGCCCCGAACCACGGGCAGCCCTGCCGGGGTGGAGGAGGGGTGGGGACCCGGGCCGGGACCCCAAACCGAGCCTGGCCCGGGTGAGAGAGAGAGCCGGGCCGTCCCTGCACGTCTTCCGCCTGGAAGAACCTTCAGCACCACGGACAGAGGCGTCTCGGTCGGGCTGCCAACCCCCCAAAGAGCTGCCCAAGGAAGACCCACCCATCACCCTGGGCCGCCCGTAAGAGAGGAGGGGGTCTAAACGACCCCCACCGGACCCCCCCCAGGCCCTGCTCCCCCTCTTCCAGCCTGGCCTGCTTGGCCCAGCGAAGGTCGGGGACTTGCCTTAATCAAAGGGCGAAAGGGTCTGTCTACGCGGTGGTGAGAACGGGGACTCGGGCACCCCGCTGTTCCGCAGGCCTCCTGCGGCAACCGGGGTCAAAGGGGGCCGGCAGGGAAAGGAAGGAAGGCGGCGGCGTTGGAAGCCCCCCCCCCCCCCCCCGCTTTCTTTGCCTCTCGCAAACACGGACCCAACACGGAGTCTCCCTCCCGGCTATCTTGCCTGGAAGGGGATAAATAGCTTGCGAGCCCCGATCCTGGTCGGGACAGCTGGGAATCGTGGAGGGCCTCTGAAGAGGAAGGAAGGAAGGAAGGAAGGAAGGAAGGAAGGAAG